AAGAGTAGATGAAATAATCTTGGTTTACTTCACATTATATAAATATTTTCAATGAGAAAATTACAGTTTGATTGGAGTATTCAAAATGTTTCAACAGTTATTCTTAAATTATCACAGTAACAAGTCCTTATTACTATGATTACATCATTAATGAACACATTTATTTTAATCTGTTGACTTAATAATTGGTCCATTATAGACTTATACATAATATCAGAAGAGGTTTTGTGGAGATTGTAGTAATTTTAATAGTTTTACGCGCGAGATCGATGGGTTCTGGGTTCGAATCCTGCGAGGCGGAGTAGTGGATGAATACTGCTGAGGACTCCCACGATGGGACGAAACGGCCGTTAAGTACGTCCAGGTTTCCCATGGTGGTCTAGCTTCAATTGACTCATGATCTCAACTATTGAAATTACTTGTATATGACTGAAAAATAATACAAAATATCAAACAATTAATTTATTAATACTCTGTAGAACTTATTATTCAATGACTTCATAAATCAATCCAAGAGTATGAATTACTTAAATCTTAAAACAAAAATAAATTAACATTAAAGTAAGGTAACCAGTTTATTTCATTTTTGTATTAGTTTCTTGAATCTTCCCATTAATGTTTAGGACTGAAATTGATCAGTCTCTTTTATTGGCACATATGCACCGTGTGCAGATTATCTCGATATTACCTTCAGTCACAAGCTTTATAAACAGCTAAATGAATAACGCGATAGTGTTTGAAGCGAACGGTATTAGGTTTAAGTCACGGATGCTGAAGAGTCCCAAATAGGAAGAAACACACAACCTGTGTAGTGTGTGCTACTGATATCGATAGATATAAATAGTATGTATCATCAACCGGAAGTGAAATACCTGGTAACAGAAGATTAAGAAGATTGAAGAAAAGAAAACGAGAACGGAAAATGATTGATGTGAAAATAAAATAACAATGAAGTTTTGAAGCAACTGTTTGGCATTTTTCAGAAGGAACAGCCAAGTTTGAAACAATTGATTACACTTTGCAAAAGAAGTATTTACTGTATGGTTTTCAAATTTTACTAAAAGATTCTGTAATTTTGTGTCGAAATACATTCGATTTCCCCCATTCGTGCTCTCGTTCACTATATTTGGTGTCGCTGCCAACCAAGTGCGAGGGAAGGGTGCTGTTCTGTGGACGCTGTTGCGAGCCTGGATCTAAGGTGCTAGTTGAAGCGGTCTAGTGCGAAGAGGTGACATCGAGTAGAGTGTCTTGGCGAGGCGGCGTTGTCTGTAGTGGGTGCTTTCAGAGGGGAGGGAAGCACTACTGACCTCCATCAACTTCAGTTTATTGTTTGATATCAAAAAATACTACTAATAATAGTAAGGCGTTGTCTCTAACATATAAACTAAGTAAGAATAAATGTTCAGTATTCTACACACACAGTATTGTATACGCAAATGTATACAGAATAACATATTTCAAAGATAAAGATGATTTAATGAATAGTTTGTTTCAATATTTATGTCCTCTTTTTAAAACAAAATTACCAATATTTTACTTTGATTGTAAAGTAGTAATTAAAATCTCCAAACATCTACTTATTTATGTATTAAACTTGATATTCAATTATAATCTCAAATGACAAGAATCATTATCTCTTGTCCTTAAATGAACATCTTTATAATGAAAAATAAAAGATTTGTTTGTGTTGTAGAGATTCAGAAAATTCCTTGAAAAAAGTCACACAAAAATAGCTCTGAAAACGTTAAGTAACATCTTATCCAATTAGTATTCAATAGACGTTTTTCCAGGAATGTCTAGAAAGTGAAAAGTCACATGTGGCGTTTCTGATTGGATGATTACTTATACTGCTATGTTATATCCTAGTGAAGATTAAATTACGAGTAACTTCCGAGAACGATTAGTGGACTAATATTATCTATATATTCTTATAGTGTTACTATTCAGTAATTCGATTATGTATATTTATATTCCCCTTATTATAAGCTTCATTTATACCTATAATTTATCATTATACGATTTACTGTTCTTAAGTTATGTTCAGTTTATTGATTACAGTCTCCCATGTTCACAGTCACTTTTTGGCTTGATCATGTATAATTGTTATTTCCTATTTTATGGTGCGATGAGGTTTGTTTGGCTGGTATATAAACCAAGTATGTCTGAAATAAATGATTCGCATAATGGGAGCTGTTATTGGTATTCTGGACTCAACTGGACGGGCTAGGTGAGTAAAGGATCAATAATGACGCTAGGCTACTCATATCGGTCGAACATCATTGGTTTGGCACAGTACTAAGATTGCATAAGTCGTATTTCGATTGGCGAATAAATTACGTGATACTAGCCGGGCTTAAAGTCACATTATGCTACTACGTTTAGTAACGTTCCAAAAGAAGAGATTAGGAAACCGAATCTAGCGTTCAATTAGACGACTTATCAATTTGTAATTTACTACTAATGTAGATTTTTGATTATATTCGGAATAATGAATAATGAATCATCATTAGTGTGATAGTTTTAATCGACACAAGTTAACTGGAATGATGTAACTATTTAAATTAAACAGTTTTATGTTAGTTTTATCATCTAATAACTTTTTAGTCTGGCTCACTCTAACTAAGCAATTATACTTTTCTATTGGTTTAATATATTCTACAATGAATTGTTACCAGTAGAAATTTATATTTAAAAGTATAGATTGAAAAAGAACAATCAGGACATGTTATGATCAAGCTACAGTACATCACAATTTCATGCCACCGATTTATTAACCAACATCAGATATCACTGACCTAGAAGATTTACCATAAACAGTTTAAAATCTTGTGAACATTCCTCCATGGTAAATATATATTGAAGATAATATATAAATTAGATAGGATTCAGTGTTGTTTCACTAACCTCACATTATTATTAAATGTTTATTATCGTTATTGGTTTATTTCGTGTTTATTACCTTCCGTGAACTTTACTTGTTACATACAGTCTAAGTTAGTCTACAGATAAATATACTTTTAATCATAGCTCCTTGCAGAGTATAACAATTAACATATACATTCTTGAACTTTCAACTTCATTACCACGATGACAATGAGAACTGTAACAGTATTAGTAGCATTGAATTAAAAAGCTAGTATTCCACTTTAGTCATCACAACTGACTAAATATATACAAGCTTATCGTTGTTAATTATGATAAGTATGAATGCAAATAATTGTATTAAAATGACTTGATCAATTGTCCCATCTGTTCTGATTTAGTATCATATAAAATACATGGTTGCCTCAAATGCATCAGCCACACAATAGGAATGAATCTATTATACATAATTCAGAGCATAGAATTCGTATTACAATACTTTTAAAAGTCAAGGATGTAGAAATATTTACATGTTGAAAACTGAAATGTCAAAGTGTTCACAATATTAAAGTTCTCGTTTACTAAACTGTCCAGTTACACAGTTTCTTAAACCCATAATTAAATCTATTCTTAAGGAGTAGTTAAAATGAGAACAGTACCCATAAAAATGGGAGCCTTGTTCAAGAATCTTCTATTATAATAGTTGAGATCATGAGCCAATTGAAGCTAGACCACCATGGAAAACCTGGAAGCATAGGAAAACCGTTTCGTCCTATTGTGGGACTCCTCAGCAGTGCTCATCCATGATCCCACCTCACGAGATTCGAACCCAGGACCTATCAGTCTCGTTAGATCGAGATGGAGCAGTATCACAGTAGAATGAAACGGCCGTCCAGTGCTTCCAGGTTTTCCATGGTGGTCTAGCTTCAAATGACTCATGATCTCAACCATTAAAATTACTAGAATATCCACAAAAACCCTTCTGATATCTTCGATGAGTTCGCTTTTAATTGTGCTACATATTATCAAATAGATATTACAATAACGAAAATCAAAAAGATACTGACCGAAGTAGACTTAAATCAAAGTATAAACTGTAGAGAATGTTTTACTATTAGGTAGATTAACTTCACTATTTATAACAACTAGATACATCTTCTGTCTCTAGTAAAGCAATATATCCTGTTTGATTTCCAAAGTCAAATCAAACAAAATTAAAGTTAGGATAGATTCAATACAAATCATTCCTATCATATTAGTGGAATACTTTTATCAAAAGTATCTGTTGCCTGATTATAAACATTTTATGATTCAATCATTACTGCATCGCCGCACAAATACCAAACTGTATTCATTATTTTATTAAATCTGACTAACTTTTAAAAAAAAAGTGATTAAAACTACCCAATATCGGTGAGATTATAATTTATGGACGACCTTTCAACGACACTAATGTGACCTTGAGAGTGTTCACCTAATAAATAGGACAAAATGGGGGTGATAAACCAGAATGACGAATTAGAGTTATGACTTACGGTTGATGGTTAGGGTTAGGAATTACATTTAGAGTTTTCATCAGGAACTGACATCAGTTAATAATGCCAAAACTCTATTTAATCAAATGGATGGCTGAATTTCGTGCCAAAATCCGAGACCTATTATCATATATCTGATTGATTCGTCTATAAATTATAGTCTCACCCATAATATCTAGTATACGATGTGAATCTTTCAAACACAGTAAGCATATTATAACTATTTATGATCAAGTAGTTAGTGTGTAAATGGATGTTCAAAGACAAAAAGTAAAAGGAAAAAAAGGGAAACATTAGATAGTGATCCCTACCTCGTATACACCTATTAAAATCTTTACAAAACAACACTTCTCATTAAAACAAAACAAATGGGCGTATACTTACTTAATTTCAACTAAATTAGTTCATTTTAAGTGTAATATAAATTGAACCAATAGAATAAAGATCAACATAAACTATGTAACAGAATATACTTTAACAAAGTAATTATCTTCCTAAAAGCCAATTAAATCAACATACTAAGGGAAAGCCAATACAATTTCGGGGGTATATAAAATCTTGTTTCAAACATTTTCAAAGTTGTTTTTTTATCCCAATAATACGATGCTTATTCCAACAAAACCTGCACCTAATTTCAAAGGAAAAGCTGTCATAAATGGTACATTTAAACAAATCAGTTTACAAGATTATTTGGGCAAATATGTTGTATTATTCTTTTATCCTGCAGATTTGTAAGTTAAATTTTAAGCCATTTTTGTTTTTGAATCATTTGATTAAATATTGAACTATGTGTAAAAGATATGACATCAAGTTCCAGTTAGATATTCTAGTAATTTTAATAGTTGAGATCATAAGTCAATTGAAGCTAGACATTAACATCGTTGGATGCCAGCCGACTCAGTGGTCTAGTGGTTAAGCGATCGCGTGAGAGACCGATAGTTCATGGGTTTGAATCTCACGGGCTGGGATCAGGGTGAATACTGCTGAGGAGTCCCATACTAAGATGGAACGACTGTCCAATGCATCAAGGTTTTCCATGGTGGTCTAGCTTCAATTGACTCATGAATTCAATTATTAAATTATTATAATCTTCACAAAACTCCTCTCTGATTAAGATCACTAATAGTCGATGGTGTTTTTGGTAACTTTGATTCATATAAGCCTTAGAAAATTTGATGTTTGTCGTCATTCTGGACAATATCATCAAATGTCAGATAGGAATCATTATTTTGAAGGCCTATTTGATAAATTTATTTATTACTTCAGTATATTCTCTTGTAATAAAAAGATTATATTTTACTATATTCTTCGTAAATGCTTCACTGTCGTCAGATTGTTGTGAACAACTTCGAAACAAAACATATCAACAATATTGATTTCATTTGCATTTTTATCAGGTTTCACTTCAGCCAAATGTATGGCTGAATTTCGTGCCAAAATCCGAGACCTATGATTGGTTCATCTATAAATTATAGTCTCACCCATAATATCTAGTATACGATGTGAATCTTTCAAACACAGTAAGCATATTATAACTGTTTATGATCAAGTAGTTAGTGTGTAAATGGATGTTCAAAGACAAAAAGTAAAAGGAAAAAAAAGGGAAACATTAGATAGTGATCCCTACCTCGTATACACCTAATAAAATCTTTATAAATGATGATAATGATATTGATACGTATACATGAGAAAAAGTAGTCAATAAATCAAGGCAATTTATAAGTCAGATTACATTATCTGGGCTACCTGTTCCTGCTATCTGGATATTTCAACAAGTTATCTCTTTGCTTGTTTGTTTTAATACATCACTATGCTTATTAGTCTTATAACCTATTCAGTTATTAAAAAAAACCCATTCAGAGACATTGGGATTGCGGGCAATATGCATTGAAAAGAATGTACATTATTCAGATATCAATTCCTGAACTGCTAATAGCTAACTGGCAATCATTAAATATTTAACATCAAGATCGATCAAGAAATAAGAAAAAGAAACTTGTTGAAATACCTCGTGCTCAAAATTCTATATTGTACCAAATATATATATAATAGTATAAAATGTATGAGTAACCAATGTGAATAAATACACAAGATGAAATATAAAAAGAATGATTTCAAAGAATACAACTATAGAAAAGAGGTAGATAGAATAAGTGAAAATGTTAATTAGATCTTTTTTTGATTATAACAGAAAGATAGGAATATTATGAACTTTATTCCAGTACTACCAGTATTGTGGTGGACTAGACAATATTCGTACTCAAAAATGATAATAACAGTGTTATTGAGGACAAATAGTATTGTTAATATATATCAGTTAAATGTTATAAACACAACAAAAATGAGGGACGTTACTTAATTCACCAGGTTTGCGCGTGTTCTGATTGAGTCTGGTACCAAAAATCCACAATTATAGATGATTAATGATTCCAGTAAGGTTGATAAATTCCTCAGTGGTATAATCTAACGTAGATTATGATATATTCCGATTACAGTCTATAAATCTAGATAGTATTTGATTTAGAGTTCATTTAACACAATCACAAGTGAATATAGAACGAAGGATATGTGTGCAACAATGTATTTGTTAGCAATCAACAGTATGTCATGCTATGAAGTTACACAACGGAAGGAAAGTCTGTTCAATGTTATACGCTTAAACAACACGTACAATCATTTATTGATAAATGTACATGCAGTGAAAAACTGACAAAATAAATACAAATAACATCAAAAACTATTTACAAAAATAAGCTTGTCAGGCATATCTCCACAGTATGTTTAAGGAACTAGTTAGAAATATGTGAAGGAATATGGTAGATAACGTTCAGTGATTTAGTTTTATCTATCAAATAGCTACTATCAATTAGAACAGAAATGATCATGGATTCTGTTTAACATTATTGAAACTATGAAGTAAAACGCTCGCTAACTTGTTTTTTTTAATGCTTCTTGATTGTTTACCTAATACAGCTTTATTCCATCAGAGTATTAGGATAGGTAGAAATACGTTGAATTGGGAAAATCAAGTAATGTGCCTTTTACTTGAATACTTACTACTGGTTAACCAAAAAGTGTCAAAGTTTAGTTGCAAATATGTACTTTCGTTCAAATGGAAAGGAAAATTAGAGAGAGATATGTATATTATAAAAATAGTTATCACTAACTTATCCCAATGTCAAGCTATTGATGATAAACTAAAGTCATTTTATATTATAAGGGGTTTTGTGGAGATTGTAGTAATTTCAACAGTTGAGATTATGAATCATTTACCTGTGGATTAACTAGAATCAATTAGAAATTTCTTGTTTGACTATTTATCCTGAATTTCTCATAGATGTTGCTTGAACTGTATCTTTAAAATAGTATTTTTCATAAAACACAGTATTCATATCATGTCACAAAACTTATCAAAGATTCTGTCTCAACAATTAAACCTTTAATATTACATAGAAGCAAATTAACTTTCTTTATATAGTATTGGTGCTGACTGGAAGAAGTATAACATTGTGTAACGAGATTAAATGTGAATGTATATCATAATCTATTGTAACCCATGAAGTTCAACCATATTACATTTTAGGTAGATGTCAATGATTGTAGTTGATAATGATTGTACAGTATCTCTAGTTGATTGTAGTTAAAAATATAAACCACTCGATAGTAACTCGGTGGTTTTAATGTTGAGTACTCATTGTAAGTCCTGAATTCCCTAGGTACGATCTCTAACAAAACTTTTAGTACATATTACTATGCTGTCACTAATGTTTTCCTAGCAAAAATCAGTTCATAATGTAAACCCTAAATCATATAATCTCCAAAAGCCTCTTATGATAATGATAACAAGAAAAAAACATTAAATGATTTTATTACACTAAGAACTATATATTATCATAAAAGAATCTTTATATTTTATTTGTAAACAATCAATTGAAGTAGTGAAATTTCATCAGTTGAGATGGCTGGGACACGTATTACGTATGCTCAATCACCGACGTGCTATGTTTTATATTGTAGGAGTAGGTTAGAAGAAAGGTAGGGGCGGCCAGACCAAAACACAGCACAAATCCATGAAGTCACTGATAAGTGGACTGAACTAAGTTTGATGCACAGAAATATAGAACTTCTTTCAGGTACAAAGGAAAAGTAGATAACCTAGCAAGATCATTTGTGGTGTATTACAGATTACATGGCGTACACTTATGAAATTGTTTAGAACACATCATTGATCTACTGTTACAGAAGTATTCCTCTGTATATATTTATTCCTTTTACAGTACGTTTGTCTGTCCAACTGAAATTATAGCATATAGTGAACGCGTTGAAGATTTTGAAAAAAGAAATTGTCAAGTTATTGCCTGTTCAACAGATTCTGAATATTGTCATTTGGCATGGACAAATATGGACCGTAAAGCAGGTGGACTAGGTCCAATGAAAATACCACTTTTAGCTGATACAACAAAATGTATTTCACGATCATATGGTGTACTCGATGAAGAAGAGGGTAATGCATTCAGGTAAATCCTATTAATTGTGCAAATGAAATTATTCTAATGTATACATAACAAAAGAAAATACACTAATAATACTGCCAATTAAAATTAATGATATTTTACTAATAATGTTTCTTTTAAAAACTTTCTTGCAATCCGCAAACCTCTCTTGATGAGTTTCAATTTTATGAAGTATCAAACAGGTGAGCAACACAAGTAGCTAGATTATTGATAATATATTAAACTTAACACTTAAAGAATGATTATATATATATATATATATATATATATAGAGAGAGAGAGAGAGAGAGAGAGAGAGAGACTCAGGCATTAGTAGTACTACTCAAAATGTATATTAAAAACTAGTAGTTTAAGCCAATAACTGTAACAGTAAGGAACTTCATGTAGTTATATCGTGTATTAAAAATACCAAAGAAAGTTTCTGTAGTGAGAATTCCAATGAAATCTCTTTTAATAGGATTTTGAAATGTATGATTTTCAAGAAGTTCTAAGAAAGGAGTTATCAAACAGAATCAACTCTTTAAATGTAAATTATTTGTTTTATATACGCACATGTATATATATCCTTGCTAATGAGCAGAATTAACAATGCGATGTTAACAAGTCTGAATATATATAAGTCGTAGCTAGCACTGAAGTTCAGGACGTCCGTTTTCTTCCGTTTGGGACTCATCAGCCGGGTGAACTTTTATTCCAGAGTTGATGTTCATACGATGCTCAAATACAATATCGAGTTGCCTCAAACGCTCACACATTATCGAACCAGCAGTGTTAGTTCATATCTGTTAGATGTCGTTTTACTGTTCAATGATTGACATCCTATGGAAAAATATCACCTGAATAGTCGGCTATCAGCTTCTTTGACTACGACGTGTACTCCGGAAAATCAAGGGATAAGGAATTGCGATAAGATTTATGTACTCATCGTACAAAAATAATTCAGTCTGAACATTGAGGTAGTCGTCTATCAATGTTGTAAATGATATTATTCTGTTCGTAGTGAAAATGTGTGAAACACTTAACCATAGACGAATTTCAATACAGAAGTGAAACGATTCTTGTCACAACAAGATGAACAGTAAATTCATAGAAGTAGTTAATTCAGAGGTGGTAATATATAAAAGAAAGATTGCATATAAGGATATAGTACAGGAAGAAAAAATTAGTTTGTAGAAAGAAAGATATGAAGCGAGTTTTAATCTCACGGTTTAAGGGAAGACAAAGAGTATATACACCTACGCCATTGTGATCGATTTTGAGCCATGTCATCCAGAGTCTCCAACCATTGGTTACGATAGTCACGCGGAACCCAACCAAGTAGTCTGTATCTACCAACATGGCTCAGACTAGAAGTTAGTGACCTCAAGCACTGATGCCACGTTTTGATTTGGCCGCCCCTAACTTTCTTCCAAAAGTATTTCTAACACTAGTCAGCATTGTACGTCGTGGTAATCGGTGTTCAGACATAAGTAACACGCAGCCCAACCATGTCAGTCGATGAAAATTCACAGCCTCATCAACTGGCAAAAGCCAAACGAGCTTTTTGAATCCGTGCTGAGATTTCGTCAGATACCAACCCATTAGGGCTGATCAGACTTCCAAGATAAACGAAGTCGTTGACGCGTTCGACTACTTCACTCCCTATCTTCAGTTTAGGTGCTTACACAGGCCAGTGCAGATGCTATAATTTGAAGGTAAATTGTGTTGAATTAGCATTTGTTTGCCCATCAGGACGCTCTAGACCGTGATCATGAAGAGCACAGACATTAGTGGTTCGTGAGCAAATGGGAATCACAGTCAATGGGTTTCTATCCCCAGGATTATTTCACGTTTTACTTGAGCATTAGACAAGTGTTTTATGTCGACTACCTCCAACCACCATCTGATCTCAACATAGTGCACGCAGTGTCGAGTCACCTAGACTGGTGGCCACATTGCAGCATGATCGATAGCATTCGATCTGCACTAAGAAGGACTTGACACACATGACATTGATCACCGTCCGTCCAGTGATCAATCAATTGTGACTACATCTCAGTCCTACAGGTCGGTAGCGGCCCGGACAGCTCAGTAGTAACGTCTCTGACTGTGAAACTGGGTGACACAGGATCGAGTCCATCAGAGAACACCAGTTCCCTCGAGATTACAGGTACACCTTACTGACTAGTGCCAAGTAGCACGAAACCTAAGTTCAGGGTTTGCTGTCGACTACCTCCAACTACCATCTAATCATAAGTGTTTTATGTGTTTTACGTGTTTCTTCGTCCCTTATCCGTTTCTCCTCTAATTTTTCTATGTTTCCCAACACATTCTATCAATAAACAAATTGAATTCGCTGGTGAAAAGTTAAAAGACTCACTCAGGATCACAGGAGAAAGATTACTAAACAGGTTGTATATCTTAAGTGTTTAGTGAGATGATAATCCTTGTTTAAAAACCTCTCCCTAAAATAAGTAAGTGATATAAACAATCAATATTTTGAACTCATCTTCAAATTCAAGAAGCTTCGAAAGCTATTAATCTATAATGTACAACCTCAGTCTATCGATGTAGCGTGAATCAGATGGCGTTGGGATAATCAACTTGTGGGGGGAACGGTTGTTACTGCTATCCGATTCCTTATAATAGAGTATTCCTTAGGTTAATTTGTGAGTAACTAACAACAGATAGTTCCCATTTAAACATTAAAATTAAAACACAAAGTTCAGCGAAGGGATCTCTTTTCAACGAATTTATTATCAAGCTGTACAATCGTATATATATGAAAATTTTGTTTTTGTAAAAGTACTAATTCCGTCAGGAAATGTGAACACAGTTAATAAAAAAATGTTATAATACTAGATTATGTAATACGAATAATAACAATAACAATAGATTTAGTGAATATAATAAGACGATTAAAATATTTTTGTTATAATAATTAAAGGTCATAGAGGTGTAAAAAAATAAATAAGGTGATATAATGAGCATTTACGAATAAAATAATGAGAATATAAGACATAAGTAAAGGGGGAATGCAGTAATAATAATAATAATAATAATAATAATAATAATAATAATAATAATAATAATAATAATAATAATAATAATAATAATTGGATAATCAAAATACTTAAGGCCAAGGTAAGGATAACGATAAGACGTACTTCTTTTGTACGCATAGTTCTTGTTTAAGCTCCTGGATGGTAAGAGCTTCGGCTGTTTTTAAAAGTTGGGTGCGAAGAAATCTGGGTAGATTTGAACGAATCATATAAACAACCTTAAATTCATTTTTTGGATCTGTGGAATGGTTACAGTCGATTAGGTGTTCAAGTATAGAACTCCTAACTGCTTTCCTTCCCCCCTTATAGAACCAAGCTGGAATATGTTCCCGTATCCGAGTTGAAAGCGAGCGCTGGCTACGGCCAATGTACCCTGCTCCACAAGAGCCGGTGAACTGGTAGATGCACATGGAGGCGACCAGACGCAGGAGCTTGTCTTTTATGGACACAGAAAATAAGTTCCTACTCGTGAAGGTTATTCGCAATTCAGCTGCATTAAATGTTCTTCTAATAGTTGTTGTTAGACGATTTTTGATTACGTCTGATGTTCGATCACCTTTAAATTCCAGACTTATATAAAGGTTTTTCTTCGTAACGGAACAACTAGGTTTCTTGTCACAACTACTTTTATTCATATTCTTTTCTATGAACCATTCTGGGTAACCGTTTTCCGTCAGAGTTTTCTTGAGGAATTCGAGTTCTTCGTTAATGCATTCCTTACTGCATATCTGATGTATTCGATAACATAAAGAGTAGATGAGGTTTCTCTTTCTACTTAACGAGACTCAGCTATAGAAGTTGGTTAGCTGTCCATTCCATGTTTGTTTTCTAAAGATGGATCTTTTTAAAGAACCATTACTCCTTCTCATCAGACGTACATCGAGAAAAGGAATTGATTGGTCTCGATCCCTTTCTAACGTGAAGTCTATGGAAGGGTGGCATGAGTTAAAGGTGTGTATAATATCATCTAAATCAATATTATTGTCACAAACGATAAACATGTCGTCCATATATCTGACGTATAGGTGAAATTGATTGATCATTGAGCTTAGTTGGTCGTTTTCTAGTTAATCATCTTATTATATTCACTAAATCTATTGTTATTGTTATTATTCGTATTACGTAATCTAGTATTATAACATTTTTTTATTAACTGTGTTCACATTTCCTGACGGAATTAGTACTTTTACAAAAACAAAATTTTCATATATATACGATTGTACAGCTTGATAATAGATTCGTTGAAAAGAGATCCCTTCGCTGAAATTCGTGTTTTAACTAACAACAATTGAGGACGCACATCAACAAGACCGAATATGTGATATAGATTAAATTTCAGGCAACCGAAATAGAAGATTCAACGAAAAATTCAACAATTTAAAGAAGCATACAGATTATTCTCAATCGTTACTGATGTGCACAAAAAACTGGGAATATACAACTGTTAGAAACTCAAAGAAAAGTTTAATGATGCATGCAACAGGGCTGCTACAACTTAGTTGAAGTATTTTATTTAGTGGAGCTGTTAAATGTTAATATCTTTGAAATCACGAGCTGATCTGTGTTAGATAACCACTGGAAACCTAGAAGCAGTCGACGGCCGTTTCGCACTAGTGCATAAATCCTAAGCGGTGTGCATCCATGACCCAGCAGCAGGGGACCTAACCCAGGACCTTCAACAATCTCTACAACCGCATACTGATGAAACTATAGTAGTCAGCTCATTAGTAACTTAATTTCGTTCGACAAGATCTTACAAACTTTTTCAAAACCTAAGCAACAATCAGAATCATAAAATTCAAGAATACACCTATCAGTAACGACACATTGCAATCATGGATTTAGTCGTCTTTAAGAAATGATAGCATTCATAAAAGTATTTCTGAAAAGCGAACATGTACCAAAAAGCTACAAATTTATTTCGATGAGCTGATATCAAGATACTTATTTACTTTTAATTTATTATGTCTATGCGGTATTTATATGGAATGCCATTTTATGACAATATTGCTTTGCAAACACTTAAATTAAATTGTCTGTAATTCCATACTGTTTCTTTTTTACTATTATTTCTACTACTGCAGAGGATTATTTATAATTGATGGTAAAGGCATACTCCGTCAGATAACAGTAAATGATCGTCCAGTTGGTCGGTCTGTCGATGAAACTATACGACTGTTGGATGCATTTCAATTCGTAGAAAAACATGGCGAAGTATGTCCAGCTAACTGGAAAGCTGGTAAGAAAACAATTAAACCAGATCCAAATGCTAGTAAAGAGTTTTTTGCTTCGTCTACAGAAAATGTCCCTGTTCACTAACACATAATTATTGTTTACACAAAATAGTGAAGTAAAATATCTATAGTATGCAGTTTCATTATTAAACCGTTCATTTATCTATATGTATCATTGTTTAAATAAACTGATGAAAAAGGCAGTTTAATACTCACATAGGTAACTTTGTTACATGATTGATAATCATCGTAATTCCAGACAAATAATTTGAGAACATTTAAACGAAGATAAATTATCTAAGCTAAGAGCACAGTGCAAACTTCAACTATTTTCAAAATAACTGTGGATGTAAGCCCGTTGTCAATCAATCAGGAAAGTTATTACAAATGAATAACTCCTGGGTGTAAACGATAATAATAAAGATTCTACAATCCATGGAACTACAAGTTTTTCTATGGAAAATTTTTTCTTATGGCTAAGGAAATTTGTCTTTCTGAACCCGCGTAAGAACTCAAGTAGGTTTTCGGGAGTACCTATATAGTTTTGGATAAGGTTCAGGGTCAAAATATCTGATCAGCACGTCATTTTATATCTACATAAAAAGAACTGAGCCTTTTTCACTCCTGTAGTAGCTGTGATTCGTCGACCAATCACCCTTGCAACCGTCACCATATAATCCTCAACGGTGTTTGAAATCAGAAGGCAAAGAGAAGCAGCGACTACAGTTTTATTAGCAGATAACTCACACCAAAAAGCAGAGAGGCAAATGAACGAGTCAGCGAACCGAGAGTGTAAATGTACATGTATATATATAGGGGAATGAATGGATCATCGAATCAATTAAGCAGCAAATAATAAAGCTAGCAGAATGTATATATGCGTATGCGGTAAGCAATGTTCAAGCATACATATTTCATACAAGCACAACAATAATAAAGGTACAATAAGTTGTTATAGTACGGATGACTTTTTCCGCTAAATAAGTTAACAAAAGGGCTTGACCGAGTTAAATGAGAACAAACTCAATTACACGTGAGTTGCTATACTCCATTATTTAAAAAGTATATTTTGTCTAGAATACCATACAAAAGTGTTTCTGTTGTCCATTTCACATGATAAAGGATAAAAGTCATTTGCTTCCTAAATTCGTGCAAATATCAGTTATCATGTCAGTTCTGATTGGGTCACTTACTTACGCCTGTTACCCCTTGCACTTCTAATTCTCGCATTTACATCTGCATCAGATCCTCCACGTTCGTCGATGATGCTGTCCAGGTACGTGAAAGTTTCCACCTCTACCTGAGTTTCACCATCAAGTGTGATTGCGTTAATGATCTCTGTGTTGTATTTGAGGACCGTGCTTCATCCCATGTGTATGTTAAGGCCTACTGATGCAGAGGCTGCTGCTACACTGGTTCTCTTGACCTGAATTTGTTTGTGTGTATAGGAAGGAAGAGCTAGGTCATCTTACAAGTAAAAATCATCTAGTTGCATACAACCTGTCCATTGTATTCCGTGTTTTCCCTCAGATGTTGTGGTTTTCATAATCCAGTCAACTACCAGAAGAATGAGAAAGAGGGAGAGGGAGAGTAAGCAGACTTGTATGACTCCGATCCCCACTTGGACAGATCCCGCTCAGATCTTTCTTTGGTATCTTGTTGAGGTACGCCTCCTTCTAGTCTGTTGGCACTTGTTCTTCCTCCCATATCTTCCTGAATAGAACGTGGAGCATGTTTAGTTACTTCCATTTCTGATTTCAGTGCTTCGGCTGCCATATTGTCTGGTCCTGCAGCTTCCCCACTCTTGATTTTTCCAATAACCATCTTTTGTTTGATCGTTGGTGAAATGAAATATATAGGAAGCTCTGTACATGCTGCATCGATTTCCGGTGGGTTCAGCGAGGCTGGTCTATTCAAGAATTCATCAAATTGTTCTACCCACCCGATCCACTGTTCTTGAATCTCAGTGATTGGCTTGCCCCCTTTGTCTTTGACTGGTCTCACCGATTTACTATATTTCCCTGTTAGTGATTGGGTCACTCTTACATCATATATAACATATGGAAGATGATGGTAATGATACTTGTGTAAACAGTTGCGTGATTAGTAGTGGTAACAGATGAAAGTATCACAACAAAAGTAAGAAAGTCTTGTTACGTATTTCATGGGAAAAATCAACGTACAAAAAAAATTAAAGGCCACTAAGACTTATTATCAAGAAGAACTGTTGTAGGGAAACATTTAAAGAATAATTAGCCTGTGATTACTTCTGTTCAACGTCATTTTTGATATGATCAATATTGGAAGAAAATCCATCAATCAAAAAAATATATTAGTGATGTATCAGACAATCAAGAACATTCGAAAAAAAGCAACTAATAAGGAATTTGTTTGAGAACGATGCAAGCAACCTTATCAAGTTTCTAAGCATGTGCAATAACTAAAAATGAAGATTATTTTTTCATGTACTGTTTACAATTTCAGTAGAGGGTGAATCCCAACAAAGGTTAGACTAGCTTACGTGACGAAGGTGACTTACAACATTAAATACGTAAAGCTAAGTGTAGTAAGATAGAAAAAGTCAGGGATAAAATAACAAGCAATACTAAGTACTCAATTCATACCTAACTGTTCTTTAGTGAATTATAAGTCGGCCAAACGCGACGTATGATCTGGCTAGTGTCCACATAGGTCCAAATTGCCACACCCCATTAGCACAGTGAGACGAAATAGTCAGGGAGAATCCCAGTGTTAGGGTTAGTAACCGTACTACTGGTAACAGAAAAGATTAGGCATCGAAGATATAATAAAATAAAGAATGAATTAGTGAGATAAAATGTGGGATTTAGAAACTTGGGATCCAAGGGAGGATAGAAAGTGGATGCTATTGCGACATTGCGAACGTCTTTCAGCCGTTCCACCCAGAGTATCTAACCACTGGTTAAGACAATCACGCAGACCCCAGCTAGGTAGTCCTCACTTACCTACATGTGTTAGCCTACTAGTCAGTGTCCTCATGGACCGGTGACGTCTTGGTTTACACGCCCGTAGCTCCCTTCCAACCTACTCCCACACTAACCATCATCGCCTATAAAAAGCTCTGCCAAACAGTTGATTTGATATAATTATCACATTCTTGAAAACACTATTCACATAATAATCTGTCCAAACAGCTAGATAATTATAATGTACAAATAATTGAGCTCAGTGGATAAGCGAATGTTGATGCTTATATTACATATTTAGTTTATGCATAGATCAACTCTTACTACAGTTGTACGAACATGAATATACCTTTATACCCCACGAGAAAGTTAGTGGATATCCGGAATACGTAACTTAGTGAATTGCGTGTCGAAGCTAGAATCTATAGGTAATGGACTCCAGTCGTGATGCAAATACCAACATTGTGATCCAGTTTATCAATATTCTAGATAGATCGGAACGCAGATCCTAGGTACTAAAAACGTTCACATTGTACCTAAATTATTTGACCCAAACACAGTTTAGTTCAAATCTGCCAGGACTATCTTATTTTTTGTTGTTAAGATCCCTATGGTCACTTGTTTGAGAGAAATCAACTAAACACACAACACAGTGTTAAGGTGCATAATATATTTCGAGTACACCTTACCGATAACCAGCTTAAGCTTATTGGGCTAACTAGTGACCCTACATAGTTTGGAGTAACTTTACTCGTCGTCTACACACAATGGAGATCATTAAATGGAAGAAGCTATGGTGAGCTATAGATCAGATTTTAGCACAAATATTACCGTGTACACACTATTTTAACAGCGACCATGTAAAAATATATTTGTTTATTTAACAGAGGGAAACTCCTTTCATTTGTACTTCAAATTATCACCTACACAGCTTTTTACGACCTCCCAACACTCCCCTTATCGTCAAGCAATTCCCGACAAAAGGTTTTTCAAATGTAAAAGCTTATGTGCTACGAAGATATCCCAAAACTGTACAACTAGTGTCAACTCCTCACAACAGAAGAGGTATGAATTTAGAAAACACCCAAATTTATTTCGTAGTAACTTTGGTCATTCGGAAACCAGAGAAAAATAACTACTCATTACAGTAGCCCACAGGAAACTATGATTACGTTTCCTGTAGACCACGTCTGAATACAATAACTTGAAGATGGCAACTAATTGAATTTAATCCTATCCATCATTATTACCTTTGATTTTATCAGGACTGTCTACGATTAATCAAAACTTTTAATTAGGAAATCTACGATGAGAGGTCAGTATATCATTTACAAGATATACTAGTAGTTCCTAAAGTTAATTAGCCAATTTGAGGCAACCAAACTCATCTCCAATTAAACAAGTAGACCGAAACACTAAATAATAATCTAATAATTTGATGTTTTATGATTGTAGAGTGAATATTGAATTAATTAGTCCTACTATAACTACTGATGCGTCGCTTCTAATTAACCACTTTGAGGTTTCGACACCTTGTCTAGTCGTTCCAAAATACTTTTAAACTTAAAAGTATCGTGGTGACCTCTATGCTCGAAATGTCATAACATATATCTTTTATAATATTCCGGATCGGTCTTATGTGCCTAGATATCGCCAACTATGGGAATACTGAGACAGTGGTGTCTCGCTTTTGAATGCAGCCACTGACTTTAAATTCTTACTAGGGGTTTACAACAACACGTTGGGTTTAGTCTTAGGAGGAAGTTGTTCATTTATATCCAACTAAAATGTTTATTTTCTATTCAAAGCTTGATCTCGCTGAGTGAAACTGGCTAGGTTGCTTAGGCTTAACTAACCATGCGTTTTGTTTAATCCTCACATTTACTCAGCTCAGCTTTTTTCACACGCAACTTGTTTTTTTTTTACTTCTAACTCATGACATTCCTAAAAAAGGTCATAATTTAAAAATAAGGAAGGAATGGGAGTGGATATTACATAAAACCATTGGAATGCTCAACTAGTTGATTCATTTACCAAAGAATCTTAGATGGTGATAATTAGTATAAAGAGCAATGTGACTAGTCATTGGAAGAATTCTTTGACTTTTGTAAAAGAACTAAGTTTATCAATATCAAAGAGAGTGTACCAATCACAAAATCTTGAAAAGATAACATATAGGAATAATTATTATGCGAATCGATAGTGTGTAAGGAGTTATTTAAGTCAAATCACTTTGTCGACATAATAAGAGCAACTATCAGTCCATAGAGTCCAAGTACCTCCGCAAAGATTAAAATAAGCACCATTCCAACAAACATTCTTGGTTGCTTGGAGGTTGCTCGCACACCGGCGTCACCAACTTTCCCAATCGCATAGCCAGCAGCCAGTCCACTGAATCCCACGCTTAAACCAGCACCAAGATCATTAATTGACCTGAATGTATCACTGGAGATTATAAAAACTTACATAAATAAGGTGTAACTGTCGTCTATTCTTTGAGCAATTAATACAGAGACGACAAGACCATATATTGCAATTATCCCTGCCATTACAACTGGTATTATGGTCTTCATGACGATATCAGGACGGGATACTGCAATGCATGAAATGCTCATACCGGAAATGGCAGTGCCGTAACCAGCGCCAAGTGCTAAAGACATTAACTATTTAATGGAAAAATACTTTACCACATAATATCATCGCCGAACTACATCCAATTAAACCCAAAAATGGTGCCCAAACTGGAGTGGACTCCATCCTGAAAAATTCGAAACGCCCACCTCAGATGTCTTCAAATGGCAAATGGTTCTGAACGGAATCGAAGTTTTCGTATAACGGGCTTCCGTATCCAGTAGCAGTGGATCGCTGATACCTCCAGGCAGGAACCTAGGTATATTAACGGTAAATAAGAAAAATAATAATTAGTAAATTATAGTGAGATATTCTGCTTAGTCCTTTAGAACACGTCAAGTTTTCTCCTAAAGGAGTCCTGGGAAGTTGCCTGGACTAGCTCAGCCAGAAGCGAGCTCGAACATTTGACTACTCTTAAGGAGAGCAATTTATGCCTACAGTCCGTTCAGCTGTGTTGTGTCTCCAGTTTATAGGTGTTGGGAATAAACTTAAGTAGGTGTTTAAGGGGATACCCAGAAGTATTTAGGATGTTTTAAGTCATCAGAAGGTCACCTCAAAGACACCTTCACTCTAATGGGTAAACGTTAGATGATTAGAAACACTCATCATCAAACTTGGATTTGGGTTCCTGAAACAATTTCGTGGCTCGCCGTTGGATACGTCCCAGAGTGTCCTTGTCCTTTTGGGGTGAGGGGGAAACACTATGCTTCCGTACTCTATATGGGAACGAATGAAACCGTTGAAGAATATGTGGACAGTTCTTCCATCAAACTGACCGACGTTGCACCTGAACGTTACCAGCGCAATGTTCGCTCGGAAGGCAGTTTTGTCGCAGTCAGACTTAAATTCGTAGGGTACCAACACTCCTAGATTTTTTCCAACATGAGACTCCTCCAGAGGGGAGTTGCCTAGGCTGTATTCGTGTCTGTGGACTACTTTACATTTTGAAGTGTTAAATGTAAGTCTGTTTTTGTCTGCCCAGCTATGAAGTTGAGTCAGATCCTCACATCACCAGTGAAAAGTAATAAATCTGATTATATCTGCTCTAGAGGATTGTCTTTATGAATCAATAAAGAAATACGTCCCAGTACTGAACCCTGGAGGATCCTCCTAGGACATTCTATAGCCCGAGAGAAAGTAAAGTTAACCCTGACCTTAACCGGTCGAATTTTTAGATATGAAGTGAGCCAATCGATTGAAGGTGATTTAGTACCCAATCGTTTAAGCTTATTTATAAGACATATATGACTGACCCTAACAAAAGCTTTTGAGAGGTTAAAAAATATGACGTTGACCTTCCCCATGCGATCGAGGATGGTTGTCCACCTGTTTACCGCAGTCGGTAGGTTGACTTTACAAGAGTGAAATTTTCTAAAACCGTGCTGTTGGGATGAAATGAAATTTATGGATAGTAAGTAGTCGGGTAGACTGGCGCATATCACGGACTCTATAATTCCTGAGGGTATTGAGAGAAGTGCTATCGGCTTGTAGTTTGAAGGTTCGTTGCGTCGATCTTCTTTAAAAATTGGTGTGATGTGATCCAGACTCCAATTTTCTGGTAATGTACCCTTCATTACCTCTATAATTATCACACAATTTATCTTATCTGTCTCTGAACATCACCCAGTTGTTACATCATCCACCCCTCATGTCTTTTTATTCTAACACCAAACGACCTCCGACCTGTTCTTGTACAGAAGTATATAGTTATTACTAAGAATCTTTGTCATTTCAATTCTTTCGACTCACTTATGTAGATTGTTTCACACTATATCTTATCAAAATGTAATAACATGACACATATTTCGTTGTAAGCAGCTGATAAGAAACCACGAAATATGATGAATTCATACTATTCTGTATCCATTTTCGTTTTAGCTTTTTAAATTCATAAAGGGAACTAATAGCATGAAGTTTTTAGGAATTCCTCGTCTAAGCTCGACGGCGTCGGATTGCTTTTCCGACAAGTTTCTGACTTGACATTTTCGAATGATTGCATATCTTCAATGAGGTTAAGGAGCCGAACGTCAGCAGAGTTGTCATCTCAATGTACATATGTTCAGAAAAGTTGACTTTAGGAAGACCAAAGTCTCCAAGAATCAGGATATGAGTGTATCCGAGACGAGTAGGTTGGAACAATCCTTCCAACATACGGTTGTCAAACTCGGTTTCCTGTAGATGACTCCAAGGAGACACCGCGAGGTGCTAGACAATCTCGCTTAGCACCATAAAGATTCACCAAGATCTATAAACTCTTGGGTCTGCACTTGATGTACTACCAAGCAAGATAGCAGGTACAGAGCTTTGTTTTCCTGTCTTTGCGAAACAAAAATATCCCGGGCATTGCTAGTTCCTGTTCCGTAGTTTGAGAAGATATCCATGTTTCAGACATTCCTATCGGATGTGTATTATTAGCATTAATGGGTTCACGCGGTCCATCCATTTTATTCGGTAAACTCGTGGTGTTCATATATAAGTAGTTTACGCGGCGAGACTATAATTTATAGACAAACCAATGTGGTTTAGGATAACAGGTCTTGGATTTTTACGCAAAATTTACTCACTCATTTGACCAAGTAGCGTCATGGCATTTTAGCTGATGTCACTTCGTGATGAAAAACCGTAAATCTTATTCCTAACCATCAACTGTGAATGATAATGCGTATCATCCAAAGTGCTTTATAACCCACATTTTGCCTTGGTAAGTGGGTAGACGTTCTCAAAGTCACTTTAACGTCTCTCAAAGGTCGTCCATAAATTATAATCCCACCGTTTACGCTTTCAACCTGAAACGCGTGAGCTTCCACGTCCTGTTTATCACTATGGGCTTAGCGTGAATGGACAGGTAACCTGCCTGCACGGGGTTTTTCCGAGTTGATACCCCCTGTCCTCTCTACGTTTTCTCATGGTCTTGACGGTCCACAAGTAGGGTAGTCAGCTCCAATTTGCTTTTGTGTTTGATCCTGGCATCATATGATCTGTCGGGCTGCATGTGGATTCCAGATGGCAACCGGCACCTGTTGTTATAAAATGCTTCGTCACTGGCAGCCGCTATATGGGAGGACGAGAGGGTCATCCCCACTAGCCGGGGTCTAGAATATCCGTCTTTCTTGGCTAGTTTCACTACCTACAGACAATGCATAGGAGAGGATGACCAAAATATTACGGATCTCATTGTAAAGTGTAGTAATTCTTTATTTTAGGCAATAGTTTGCGTTAGATTTTATATTCATATTACCTAAGTTTAGCGGCTAAATTATAATGCTAATATTCTCTCAGTAAAAATTTACCCAAAGTTGATACAGTTTTAGTTACGGTTTGGAATGGACAAGTGGTTGGGTGACTCATGTTAGTCCTGGTATTGGCAGTCTCTCAGACGATTCAAGTTTCTTTAGAAAGCGTTGACAAATGGAGCTTCAATTATATGTCAAGATAATGAATTCCATTCGATAATGATTAGATGGGAAAGTTGATAGTCAGGTGACAAGTAGTTCGTTCTGGGCCTATAAACTTTCTTAGAGTGTCCTCGTTAGCTCTCTGTTTTGGGGGACTAGAAAAGTGAGGGCCCATCAAATGAAGATATATCACCCAGTAATTAAAAAACTGTGATCAAGTCGCCTCTAGTTATTCCATATGATAATGAAAATAAGCTTAGTTTAGCCACTCTAGCGTCGTACGGGAGTTTAGCTATTCCTGGAAAGTCCATTTTTAGGCAAGCGCTAGCCGCTTGTGTGTAGAACTCAAGTTCAGGACGCACGAATACCGTATACAAAGTCAAAGAGCTTTCGGCATTGACGTGCATATAGGCCCCACGTATTAACCACAGGGATCTAAATCCCTTGGCGGCTATTGCACAACAATATGCAGTAGATTTTAGGTCTTGGATAACAATGACTCCCAAGTCACTACGTGTCTGAACAATAGATAACTCCATACTATTCACCGAGTATATATCCACACGTTGATGAACAATATGCATCACAATGCGCTTGAAGCATTTATCGATAACTGCCACATCTGAGACCAGCCAGATAATTTCTCCAGGACATTTTGAAGCTCTCAGTTATCGCTCTCACTTTTTATCTGTCTTTATATCTTTATATCATCAGCATATAATAAAACCGCTAATGAAAGAAAACTAGGCAGTTCATTTACAAACAAGAGAAGCGACACTAGCCCAGAAACTGTACTCTGAGTCATTGAGCTAAGCACTGTTTTCTAGCAAGACAACTTGAAGTTAACTAGTACTCTTTGTTGATGTCCAAATGGGAAATCCCTTATCCACACAAGTAAACTGTCTCCACTCTTGGTACCACTTAATGTAGATAACAGCTCACTATGTGGAACTTTGACAGAGCCTTGCTGAAGTCAGAAAAGGCTACATCACCTTAAAATGATGTTGCTGCACAACTTTCTTCCGATAACGCTATGATGCTACCTCTTCTCGCAGTCCTTTGGTTTATGTACGGATAAAAATTTTCAAGATATTTTTAGATTCATTAGACTTAGTTCCTTTCTAGCTACTAAAGTGGATGATTATAGCTTTATTGTCCGATCTACTGAAGGGGTTGAGTGTAGAAAATTTTGTATATTCGCCTTCCGAACGATAGTTTTTTTTAGGTGATACACTGTTGTTGACAACTACACAGAAATGAAAGACTAGAACTGCATGGTCATTTTTACCTAAAGGTGGCATATGATCAGGTTTCGTGACATCATCCTAGTAATGTGGTAATGTGAGATCTAGAAAAGATGATTCAGAGTTCGGGTTAAACCTGTCTGGCAAGACCTCATTCACCTCACAGTTCGAAGCGAAGTAGACCGGACGGATAAACATCTCTTGTTTTTGCATTTCGAGCGTCAGCTAATTAACTCTCACGTTCCACTTTCAAGGGATGTGTTACTGATAACAGTTATATGAGTACTATATCTGATGAATAAAGCTACTCCTCATCCGTTAGGCTCCTGGGTTCTGTCGGCTCGGACTAATATGAAATTTTTGAGATCAAGTTCCTTGTTATCTACGGATCGTGTTGGCCGATACTCTGTGACTGCGGTTACATCCTGCTTAGAAGGCTCGTTGAGTAAGTTCTACGCAATAGTGTAGCAGGTCAGAAAACTATTTAAATAAATTTGCGCTGC